TGATCCGTAAATTCCTGGTTACGAATTTGTAAATCATTTTCTCGTTTTGACAGTTCTTCGGTTAATTCCGCAAGTTCTTTATTTTTATCATTTAATTTTACATTTTGTTCCGAAATAATCTTTAGTAAACTTTGTTGTTCCTCAAATTCCTGATTCCGAATTTTTAAAACATTTTCTCGTTTCGACAGTTCTTCGTTTAGTCCACGAGTGATTTCCTCAAATTCTTTATATTCTACTGAAATATTGTTCAATAAATTTGTTTGTTCTGATATATCATTCCTAAGGTTTTGGTTATCAGATTTTAAGTTAGTGATATATTCTAAGATATTATTCAGTAGGGTAGTTTTGTCCGGTAATTCTTCTTTTAACTTGTTAAAGCACGATTCTATTGATTCACTTTCTACGGAATCCACATCCATTGGATTGTTATGATCATCAGTAGCCATATCTGACAAGTAATTTCTTTAAAATTTTAAGCTAGTTAGAAATAGAGAATCGAAAAACTTTTTGTGCTTTTATAAAAAGTAAATATAACAAAGATATTAATATGCACTAAATAAAAACGTGAAACAAGCCTTCTATATAATACGTAGATTAACGGATATATTCATCCGGGTTACCTTTTAAAGTCTTTAGTACGATGATAAAATGCATTTGTGATTATATTTAGCGAACAATAAGAAACAAAGACATTACAAAAAAAGAAACAAAGAAATTTGGAAATTCAAATAGCTGATAGTTTTTTAATATCTCGTTGCTCAATTTATATTTGATTTTGCACATTAAACCTTTTTTATAAACTTTTGAGATATCTCTCTTAAAATGACTGAACCTGATATTCGTGTGGTTGCAGCTATTGGTAAGCTAAAAGATGAATGCTCAAATTTATAAAATTTAATTATAACTATTATCGTTCGTTGATTAATATATACTTTTATCATTTATCCTTTTCATTTTGCAGATTTTGGTACAACCTATTCAGTAAGTGCTCATTGAATTTATTAAATTTAACTTTGGAATTTTGCGACTTTATTTAATGTGTATATTTTGAAATTCAGGGCTATGCGTATGCTCATAAAGCGAACCCTAGTGAAATCTTTGCTAACACTGATTGGCAAGAATATGAAGGAAGATTCAAAACCCCAACAGTTTTAAAATACAATGATAATTGGAAGCTTGAAAGTTGGGGCGCTCCAGCTTTAACTGAAAGACCAAAAAGGAGGGGAAATAATATTAGTAAAAAACCCGTTGAATTGTTTAAACTTCATTTAGGAAATATGGAAAATAAACCTTCACTCCCTCCTGGCCTTGATTATAAAACCGCAATTACTGATTATTTAAGTGAGATGACAAAATCTCTTAAAACAACCTTAGAAACTCGTTGGCCAATGGTTGACTTTTATAGTCAAGTTTGCATTGTCATTACGGTATGTATATACATCTATTTGCTTGTTACATAATTTCTGCTGAATTTTTTCTTATTTAAATTTATTCTTAGATTCCTGCAGAGTTCGATGCTACTGCAATTGCTACAATGCGTAATTGTGCGCAAAAGGTACATTATAAGATATCATATTGTTTATTCAATGTATAGATGAAATTTGCTAAATTATAAATTTTTATTAATTTCAAGGCTGGCTTGATTCAACAAAAAGACACTCCTAATTTATTGTTTACAACTGAACGTATGCAAATTTACTTTTAAAAATAATGCATATTCGTAAATACGTCTCATTATTTATATATATATATGTACAAATTTTTATTAACAGCTGAGGCAGCAGCTATACATTGTATGAAAGCTTTAAAAGAGCACGATTTGGGTGTAGGAGGTTAGTGTACAGTATTATTATTTCCATAATAAAAGTTTTCATATATTTAGCAAATTAATACGTGTCATATGTACTATTTTAGATTCGTTTATGGTAGTTGATTGTGGTGGAGGTACTGTTGATTTAACAACTAGAAAACTTTTAGCCGGTAATAAATTAAGCGAAATAACTGAACGCGAAGGTGACTATTGTGGTGGAAGTTTTGTAGAC